CTAACTAACTAACTAACTAACTCAACAGCTGCAGCGATTCCCTTAAACAGCCGTGGCAAGAAAAACTGGGGGCCAGACTCCCTTTAACAACTGCCTCGCTCAGCCCCAGAACCCCTTGGGCTCCCTGGTGGCCGTCAGACAACGACTACCCGTATCCCGATGACGCATTTTAACCCGCCCCACTCATCCGCCCCTTTCTCGAAGGATTTGTCCGTTTTTACCGAGGCATTTACCAGATTCCCTTGACCTGCCAAGCCCCAGGCCTCTCGTCCTCCCTCCAGCCAAGATCCACCCTCACAAAGCTTACGCTGGTCCTTCCAAGGGCTTAATTCCCTAATCCTGACCTGTGTGTTGTGTGAACACCGCCAGGGAGTGGGAGTGGGAGGGCGGGGGGCTTTTGAAGAGAGCTCACCCAAGGGCACCTCCTGTCTTTTCTCCCGCTCGCTTCAACGTCAAACCCTCTTGGCAAGGACAGCTGTCTTTCCCAAGGCTGCGGGGCCAGCTGGCTCTTGACAGCCACGGAAGATCTGCTCGTCCTTGGCAGACTCCGATTACCTCCTTTTACTTTGGGGGGAGGTCGGGGGGGGAGGGGGAGCCTTTTGCAGCATCCCCAGGGTCTCATCCAGCCTGCTGACCCACGTCCCTTCGCAGCCCCGAAACAAAATCCAGGGAAAACGACCTCACGGGACGACTGCTGCGCACGAAAGAAACCTGACCCCGCGGCGTAAGGTGTTATTAATAAGGGCTTTTTTCTTCTCCCTTCTCCCTTTCACCCCTTCCTCAGGCTCTTTCTTGCTCAGGGGGACGAAGAAGAAGAAGAAGAAATTAATTAAGACTTTCTTGATTAGGCATTTAATCAGTCCTTAAATCAATACAGATGGAGTCAATTAGTTGGGTGGTGGGTTTTTCTTTTTCCGCCTTCCTCTTTTGAACATTTGAATAGATACTCGATGCTACCGTGAAATGATGCATTTCCCCCCACACCCCTGTTTTTTTTTCTTTCTTCTCCTCGTTCGTTCTGCTTAACTCTCAGCTCCTAGGCTGGAAGGAACGGAACAAGGCTTGTTTCTGCTCCGAATTGCTCAACCGAAGTCTTGTGGTAGAGCCATCTTCCATTCTCTATAATGGGCGGAAACTGATCCAGGAGAGATTCAACCTGGAAATAAGGAGATATTTAATGACAG